GATTTTAATTATTTTGTGTTAATTTATTACAACATTTAAAATTCATGATAATTCACATAAAAACCCTGATTATCATCCTCTTGAAAAAAGAATTGTAAAGTATAGAGATATTGGACCCAAATGTTGGCAGGGCAACAGTCTACTAATGCTGATCAAGGCTACCCCTTTAAATGGGGTATGTTCTCTACTTGGCCACAAACCCTATCTCCATGTAGGCTAACTTACTGCCCACCCCCCCCCCCCAAGAGACAATTGAGTTTATGTTCCCTGGTCTAAGGCTCTTAGAAAAACCTTATTTCTTTTTCACAATGTGGCTTCAATATCTTACATGAAGACTTGTCATGGTAGGATATAGGAATCTCTCAATCTCTCAATCTAAGAAGAGTTTCAATCAAATTCCCCTCTCAATATGTTCTCAATTTGAACCATGATCCCCAAGAAGATGGACAAATGACAAATTACCCTTCAGTTTCTTTTGCCCTTCAAGCTAGCCAAGCCAGAAACCCAATCAGGTGGAGTCAAAGCACTAATATAAGAATGTCTTAATTAAGCCGAGTGATCAATAAATAATACACATAATAATTAGAAAGCAAAGTCTGGGATTGATAGAATAAAAACAACATAGCACTGATCTACGTAAGGATGAGAGGTCAATAGCCATAATTCAAAAGGAAAAGCCCTAAAAATATGCAGAAATAGCTAGTAAATAGAGTTTAGTCCAAGTTCGTTAATAACCCACTATATGATTTCACCTCACACCTACATTAAATACAGTATCTTATTTTGGGATGGCAGAATTCTGACAACTACAGGTTGAGTATCCCTTATCTGAAATGCTTAGAACTAGAAGTTTCAGATTTAGGGGTTCTTTGGATTTTGGAATATTTGCATAATACTTACCAGTTCAGCATCCCTAATCCAAAAATCTGAAATCTGAAATGTTCCAGTGAGCATTTCCTTTGACCGTCACATCAGTGCTCAAAAAAGTTTTGGATTTTGGAGTATGTTGGATTTCAGATTAGTGCTACTTAAATTATATTTGCTAATTGATATTCTGTGTATTATTTTCTTACTGGTGAAAAGACAAATTGAACTCAGGAAAGAAAAATTACAAATATATAGTCAAAGAGTCACTAATTCATTTGAGTAACATAATGAGTTTTTATTTCTTAATATACGGGGTTTAATTTGTTAACCACACCAGAAAAAGAAATGTTCAAACAGTCAACTTTCTACTTGAAATTAAAATGGAAATTAGCCCTTAGGAAACAGTGATGACTTTAAGTTTATACATCAGTGGCTGGTTCATGAATTATTAACTGATTTTAATGATCCTGGCTATATTTTATTTGAAGTTATTCTCCTACTTGCAACGACTTTTGAACCCACAAAACTCTTTCATCCATTCTCCATAGACACAGTACACTTTCATGAGCGCTGACATTTGAAAAGGATCCATATACTCACAGAATGTAAAGATAATACACATGCATATAATTTATACAAAGGACTCTGGTCATTTGTTAAAGAGAGAAATGAATGAAACCCTATTATTCACGGTTTGTAAATAAATTTAAAGATAAGCGCTAACTTTCACTTGTTAAGCTTAGAGCCAAGAGTTCTGTGTTTCTTCTAAAGTTTCCCAGATGGTCATTAAAACAAGAGAGGGCAGAAACATACTTTCTTTGAAATCCATCATTTCCTATCCAGAAAGATAATACATGTCATCAAAAGTTAAGTCTTTAGAGATTAATTAATAATTTGAGTATTTTCTAATAAAATAAATGCATGTCTTTATATGCTAGTTTTTACATTTTCAGTATAAACCTATATTGAACAGCACCACTTCAGACACACAAATTAGCTGTGAAACAAAATGCTATAAACCTTTAATTAGCACTTGCTGCTTTATACCCATAAAGTTAATACTTCCTCTTCTACTATATTCTCTGTAAAGAAAAATTATGGAAAATTAAATTGTGTTTTTCACATCTGAAAATAAAAGTAGCAAAATATAGTATTGTGGCTCAGTTTAAAGATAGTTATATTTTTACCTGCAAGGAAGTCAATACAAACATCCCTTAAAATAAGTATAATTTGATTCCTACCAATATTAAGCGCTATGTCTAACTTTTGTAACTTGGGTACACAGAGCACTGATGACGATCAGATTGTTAAATAAGTAAGAAAGCAAGTTATTTCAGGCAAATAGCTGCATTAAGAAAATACGACAGTAAGCCAACTTGCATCCACACTCCTGAAGCTGAACAAGCATCTCAATAAATAATGTCTGTTTTCAAGCTTTATATACCCTCCCTGAAATAAATGTTCTGAGCTTAAATAGACTCAAAATAGCCTTTCTCAGAAAATAAAAAAGAGACACACACAAAACACCCCCAATTTCCTCTGGTCCCTTGAAGTACCCTTGGGATCCCAGTGAACAGAGATTTGCCACGCATTGCAGTCACTGCATTTGTACAATAGGTTTCTATTTTGGTGTCATTCGAGTGTTGCTGATCTTAAATCAGAGAAAGAAGGAGTTACATTAGGCAAGGTAATGGCTTCCAAAAATAAGAGCATGCCCAGTTTATACAAGGCTTGCATCCACATGCTAAGTTGTAAGGAGATAAATAATACCCCACTGGAACAATTAGGTGGATTCTCAGAAACACTACATACTTAATTAGGCTGCCTAAGTCCCTGACTGAGCATACATGGGGGACTTTTTAAAGCATTTAATAACCTGAGTAAATCCAAAATCAGAGGACACAAACTAATCCTTAACTCTGGCTCCAGCGATCGGCCTTTTCTTGCCTCTCTTTAAATGCTTAGCGTAGCCCTTAGAATGCGGAGAGCAGGAACGCTCCAACCACCAAAGGGTTAAAGCACAAGGAATAAAGTCCCCTCGATCTATATTTGTTGGGAGGCCCCTCTGTGCCAGACGCGGAGCTGGGCGATGATGACACTGGAAGGCGAGCAAGAGAGACCCTAATGGTTTTTTACAAACTTCAGCACTGGAGTTGGGAACGGAGTATAAACAAATAGAAAGGAACACGAGCCTCCATCAGCCACGGGGCACAGCAAACTGTTCCTCACTCTAGATGCAATTCCTCCTCTTCCTGTTATTTATTGATTAGTTTTGTTTAGCACCTTTCTTTTAGCAGACTCCTTATTTCCTCCTGTTATCCAAGCAATCATAAACAAACTACGATTTGAAAGAAAAAGGGAGGGAGGAGGGAGGAGCAGGAGGAAGGGTAAAGAAAACCACATTCAAAAGGTACAGGCCATCCAGAGCCCGACTGTTTCTCTGAATTTCGCCCTCAGGGTGATGTTTTCGGCAAATTCGGCGCTGGGGGCTTCAGGGAGGACAGAGGACACCGAGGGGTGGTGGTGGGAGGGCGGGGGGGAATTCCGCGCTGCCCGGGTACCAGGGCTGCGACTCTCGCCCGCCTCGCTGCTCCGAGCGGCGCCTGCTGCCCTTCTGAGGTCCACCTAGCCACCTGGAACGCTCAGTCCTCGAAGTTGGCGCAGGGGGAGGTGGAGAAGGTGAGGTGACCCCAGGGTATGGTGTGGAGGTCTCCAATCCCGATCTCCCCGAAATGCAAAACTTACCACCCCCGCCCCAGAAAAAAAAGAATGAGAGGAGAGAAGCCACTTACGCTAAGCGGGGAGGGGCGGGCACCCCGGTTCCGAGGTCCAAAGCGCCCTAGCGAAAGGGCAGCAAAGGCCACCTGCGGGGTCCCACCACTTACCCCACTCCCCTGTCCAAGGCATACTCAAAAGTTTGTTCCTTTCCGTCCGTAAGCGGCCCTGAGGCCGGCTCTCGAGTAGGTGGGGGAGGTAAGAAGGACTGGGAGTGGGGGAGGGCAAGATCATCGGACCAGGAGATCAGGGACCCCCTGCGTTGCCCCCCACTCACTCCAGGGGGGCGGCGATCGTGTTTACTAATAACAGCAACAAACAATCACACGGGAGCCCCTCTTTCAGTCCTCGGTCTCTCTTCGCTTCTTTGGTGCAGCAAAGGAGAGTCTGGCGGGGAGGTGGGAGGGAGCGGAGAGGCTGAGGGGAGCGCCGGCTAGGGGACAAAAAGCGGCGTGGGATGGGGCAGAAACAGAAGCGGGGAGAGCTGGACAGAGACGAAGGCTCAAAGGTAAAGGAGTAAACAGGGGAGGAAAGAGGCCAAAGAAAAGTGCAGCAGGCGGTGAGCCCGAGCGCGGGGCGCGCCTGGGATGGGGAGGTGGCCCCCGCCCACCCGCCCCCCGGCCCGGCCCGGCCCGGCCCGGTCACCTTGCTGTAGCCGTAGTACCCCAGGCACTGCGCGAAGTCCAGGCTGGCAGGGTCCCCGGCCGCCGCGGGGTAGAACCTAACATCCATGCCGGAGCCGGGCCCGGGGCCGGGGGCCGGGACTGGGGTTCTCCGGGGCCGGGACCCGCCTCCTCGCCGCCGCTAGATCCACCGTCGGGGGCGCCCGGGGGTGGCGCGCGGGACTCGCGGTCGGAGGGGCGCCGCGACCGGAGCCCGAGGAGCCCGGGAGCCGCGGCCGCCGCACACAAAGGCGCGGCCACGCGAGCCGCGGGAGAGCGGGAGGCGGCCCGGGGGACGCGCCCCGCCGGGGCACCGAGACAGCGCTGCGCGCGGGCCGGGCGCCGGGGGCGCGGGGCGCGACGCGGGGGCCCGGGACGGCGCGGCGAGTTCAGGTGCGCTGGGCGAGGCTGGGACGGCGGCGGCGGCGGCGGCTGGCCCCGCTCCTCCTCCTCCTCCCCGGGCGGACTGAGGAGACGAGCCGCGGAGACAAGGGGCCCGGCCCCTCCCCTCCTTCTCCCCCTCCTGCCTCCACCGCCGGTCCCCTCCCCGCGCCGCCGCCGCTCCGCCCCTCCCACCGCGGGCAGCTGGCGCGCCGCCCGCCCCGCCGGTGCGCTCCTCGGCCCGGACCGCCTCCGGGCGCGCCCACCCCGCCCCGCCGGCCCCATCACCCCCGCCGCGGCCTCCCCCTCTCCGGGGCCCCTCTTCTCCCCACCTCGCCCCCCTTCCCGCTCCGGTCCTCTTTGTCCCCGCTGCCTCGGAGCGCTCCTCTCTCCCCTCCTTTCCTCGGCCGAAGCGGCCGCCAGCCCTGCGTCCCGTGTGTCCCACCCTCCTCCTGCGCGACCACCGCTTCCCCGGGCCCCAGCTTCCCCAGGCCGTCTGCTCCCTTCCTGTCGCTTTCCTCCCCACGCCCCGCTTCCTTCCTTACGGGTGCCTGTGCCCGGGCCCCTCTCCTCGACCCCGCCTTGCCTTTCGAATGTCCCCTGCGTGGACACACCTAACCCAGACGCCAACCTGCAAGAGTGTCTCCCGGTAGCCGGGAACCGGGACCCCAAGTTCACCTGTAGGATTTCCCAGAAGGGGTGTTGGGGCCTGACCTTTCACAGGTAGGCAGACTTGAAGCTTCCCAAGTGAAGCCTCGTGTCGGTTCTCTTCGTATTCTCTTTGCTCTTGTTTGTATTCGAAAGGCATTTGAGTAACTGGATCTAGGCAGATCATTCACTGCTCTTGGAGAGAAAATGTCCCTATTTTCCTAAAAGGTCCTAGCTGATTAACTTCCCCACTCTGCACTCACCCACCCCCTCTTTATTTCTTTATCTTTCTTAAGCTCCATCTTTTTATTTATTTATTTTCTCATCGGCTTTATTGCTTTGAGTTAATCTGAGAGTTTGGCCTTCAGCCTTGGCGAAGGGAAGAAGCTTTATACTAGATGGGAACGTTGTGGAGAGGCCGTGAGATCTGCCCCCTCCCCAGCTTTGTTATCTGCGAGCCACTTTAACCAGAACGGAGACATTCTGAAATATTTCCTATGACACTCGCTAACAGTTTCGTCCCCTGGTCACACCTTGCTGGCCCAGGGCCTGAGCTTTTTCAGACAAGCATGACATGGGTTTTCTTTTCATTTCTTCTGTTCTCCAAAGTGGATCGGGCTTGCGACACCTGCGTGTGTACCTTCGCTCAATATTATCTTTCTGGAACGGAGCAGAAAAAAATAAACTTCAATTAGGTGAAAGTTTCTGTATTTGCTCTTCTCTTAGCAAAAACTTGGGTCAGGAGACTGCATGAGAGAGCAGTGTGTACTCAGAAAAGAAACAACTGCTCACATTGTCCCTGGGTTGACTCCTATCCCCACCCTCCCTAAAAAGCTTTGGTTTCCCCTCCCTAGTCTCCATTTAACGTTGACAACCCAGCGGCGCTCCCTAATGGCCCAGCAGGTTGCACAAATTGACAGTGAGCTGAGATATTATCAGGACAACACCCCATTGAGTAAGTTCTTGAAACGCAGAAGTGGAGGCCCTTTCTGTGGGCCACTGGGCGCCTGTGGCCTTTCCACCAATCAGAGCTGGAGGTTGCAGTGGCCACCTGTTGTCTCGCAAGAGAACATCTTTTAAGTTTCGCTATTAGTATTTAACAATAGCCTATAGAGCACGATCTGGTCACAGGAGAGGAGCAATGTGATGATCTGAGGTACCAAAAAAGAATTTAAATTTTTTTTTTTTTTTTACAGATAGCTCTTACAAGGAGCCAAAAGTCTGGAAAGCTAAGTTTTTCTTTGCAGACTCACAATCCTCACCTTCTGCTCATTCTGTTTTGCATCTGGAGCAATCTGAGCTTCATTAAAGGACGAAGAAAAGTATAATCAAAGTTACAGAGACTAAACCTGAACTTGTAATCAGACTTCGAGGATCAGGAATATAAATACGCTTCGCAGCGGAAACCCGCTAGCTGCAAGAATGGGAATTGCAAGTGGGCTGATGTACTGCATTCAGCTTTGGGCGGTGGAGCCTAGAAAATGAAGCGAGAACTTTACCCCTAAGGCTCTCAGGAGTTAGGAATGCGCAGTGACAATCCCTAACTTCTGGCCATTGTTTTGGAAAAGTCTTTCTCTTAAATTTCCCTTCCCTGTTAGGATGCAAATGCTTTTGGGAAGGGAACAATACTCATCCGTCTGCATTTTATTATTTGATTTAGGATGTAAGGTAAGCAAAAGATCTGAGTTTAGATTTTGATTTGGGGGGAGGGGAAGAATCCGGGTGATGAGCTGAAGATGTGTATGTTGAGGCATTTAGAATGAGAAAATCACTGGAACAGAAAAAGGGCATCGGGGAAGGCTGCTGACTTGACGATTTTGCCCAATCTCCACGCCTTTGGCAGCTAGCTATATTTATTTATTTATTTATTTATTTATTTAAGTACCTACCATGTGCCAGACATGATTTTAGGCACTTGTGAATGAGAAAGAGGATTCGATTCCCAACATGACACATATAGAAGTCCTCAAAGAGGACTATGAATTGAGCTCTTGGAACACAAAATACACACGTACTCACATGCACACGTGTATACATACCCTGAACCATCCCAGTCACCTGGAGATACTGACATGGCACAGCCACTAGCTGCTGTTGAGAGAAGCAACATGAGAAACAAACTCACATACAGTGTGAAGGATGCCAGCCTCTACATCCCCATGGTATTTGTATAAGAAGGTTCAAGGGACGAGGCAGTGCACACTGATAGATCATTGCTGAATCCCAAGAACCTCAGACCATGCTTGGTACGTAGTTTGTTTGCAGGAAATATTCATTAAAGAAAGGAAGTTTAGAAAGAACATGGGAAGGAAGAAGGAAAAAAAATCAGAATGTTTTAATAGTGTAATTTATTTGCAGGGAACCTTAAGGCAGGATTTGAGAAGAGTGTATCCAGGGCCTCTGATGTGAATTAGAACAATCTACCTTGGGTGGGGTGGGGGCCTTTTGCACCCTGCTGTTGTAGACTCTTCGTAAATATTAAAACTAGGATCCTATGTGGTTTCCTTTAGAAATGATCTGATTATACTCTCCATTGCTTTCGCACTATCATCTAATTTTAAGGGTTCCAGTGGTTTTGAAGACTATCCATTAAAAACTTTAGAATGATGCTTTAAAAAATTAAATGCAATTGTAGCTGTCATGGTATTTGTTATCTTAAGGGTGTCACTGTTTTCAGTCTGTCAGCAGTCTTGTTTCTGAAAGCCATAGACAAAGGTTTCCTTTATACTGGATTAGCCTTGAATTTGAAGAAACTTCTCCAAGAACATATCTTAAATATGCTTTGAATTTATACTGAACAATGCTAACAGTTATTGACTTAGAAGGGCAGCAGAAGAATCAATTCTGCAGCCAAAATGCAACTTCTGGGCATAAGAAAATTCCTTTAGGGTTTTGAGATGATTTGGATCAAAATTGTCCATCTTCTTATAATGCTTGATGTTTCTAATTAAATAGTTGATGTCATCCAAGAATCCCTTAAAAATGGGGAGAAAATACACAAACTTTACGTTGTGGGAAAACTACCTTACATCTTGACAGAAGCTGAAACCTTTCTCTACTTTATCTGGTTTCAAATTATGCAAGAAAGTCCCCACGAGGACTTCATTAAACCTGCCAGAGTTTTATAACCAAAAACCTCACTGGAACCCCCACTTTTACAAATCTATGAAAGTAATTTAACCCCTCCGTGTTCTGCTTGCCCAAGATGAGACGCAAATACTATTAAACAGTATATACAGTTTAATTCTCTTGAGTTTGGGTGATGAAAAATCCTATCCAAATATTACGATCCTTGCAATATGTAATGTAACCAAATTATTGGTAGCTCCAAGTGGAAATTAACAAGGCCAGGGCTACTCACGTTTCTTCTCATCTATTCTCATAGTAACAGCTAATGTATTGCTAAAATATTGCTAAATATATTTATTGCTATATTGCTAAAATATCTTATATTCAGTTTTATATCTGAACTTGGTGTTGTGTCATAAATCGTAGCATTCCTATCCAGCCTGGATTCTTAATATGTGTATCCTCATGAAATTTAGGAGACTTTCATATCTGCGAATCAACACTTCACATGCATAGTCTAAACCACATGCAAATAAAAGCAAGTCAGAACCTACCAAGACTCTCACCATAGTGAACCTACACATGGTATAGAGGAAGAATTCTTACCTGGGGGACCTGATGACGCATCACTAGTGCAGGACATAAAACGAATCACCATAGAGAGATCCACACAGGAATTACAGTGTGAAAAAAATCCCCAAGCATAGCCATTGTTTAGCTTCAGTTTTCAGTGAATCTAAACTCTTCTGGTCTGAAGATGTGAACTCTTTTGCTATTTTTACTTTGGTCAAAAAATACAGAAATCCAAAAAAATACAGAAATCTGGGGAAATGGGAGAAAAATAAGCAAACTTTTCCTTCATGATAACAAATATATATTCAGTTGTGTACATGAGGTTGTTTCTCATATTACTACAAACAATTTTAGTCCTATTGGTCTCTGTATTACCAGGCACAAGAAGAGCTCTAGAAAACTAATCATTTTGTCAGTTGACTATTACTTTTACTAAGAATAGATACACCCAAAGGTTCTGACAGATATATAGTAATTATGGAACAGTAACCTCCAAGATCCTGGTAGCAAAATACTATTAAGCCAAGAATTCATTACCACAAATATGAAATGCAGCAAGTATTTGCTTGTGACCTAAGTAGCTCTTCGGTAAAGCTATCTTAGAAACCAAAATACTCAACACAATCAGGAGGTGTGCAATTTTCACTGTATTTATACTTTGCCTTTAAAAAAATTATATTCACAGAAATCCTAAACTGTCATCCTGCCTGTTTTCTGAAATATATTCTATTTCTTTTAAAGTGAAAGAATGACCTCTTTTGCAGGAACAATTTTCAGAGACAGCGTGTTTATCAAATGGTTTCTCTGCTTTCATAAAAACAATTTATTTTCACTGAACTCTTCAAGATAAGCATCAAAACCAGGAAGAATGTACAATGAAGTTTATAATTTCACTCCAGAAACAAATACTGGGTAGTTTTTATTTTACTTAAGTGAAAAACATTTTTTTTTTTTTGCCAAGGAGACAAAGGTACTAATGGGGGAGGGGGTTTATACAGGAGTGAAAATCAGGAAGTCCAGATAGTCTTCAGCAGGAGAGGACCCTGGTGTCCACAAAGACCACCGACTGGACAATGAAAGCTGAAGACCCAGTACTTTCTTCGCAAATGGGTGGGGGTCAGTCCACAGTTTTATTCTTTGCTAGGGGACAGCTATAGAGGCATTAAGGAGAGAAAATCATTAGGCAGATATTAATTAAACCCTTCTATAACAGATCTGTATACCATTGCACATAAATATCTCTCATAGTTGGAGCTTTGGATGACAATCCTTTCTTTGATAAGCGTCCATGTTTCTAGGCTTAATTTATATGACATGTTATTTTTTAATAACCATAGAACGATAAAATTGTAAAAATAACCAAGAAAAGAACGGAGTCTAATAAAGATTCTGTTTCTTAAGAAATGGGAAACAATTGCCTCTGATCACAGAACAGCCAAGAACTAGCAGCAAAATAATCTCTCCTAATTTACATAGATCTGTGTGTGCCAAACAGATGAGTGTTTGCTTTTCGAGTAATAGTGCAGGTGCGTATCCTGCAGTGACTAAATCTCTAACTCATCAAACTGTTTCGCTAGAGTGGGACATGCCCTCTTTTTCTGGAACAGTTTCAAGTTTTCTCCCCAGCATTCCAGCCACCTGTTTATGGAGTTCATCCTCGGGAGAAGATGCATGCAATTAGAAACAAGAAAATGAAAATAAATGACCTTGTTTGTTATTTATAACAAAGAAACTCAGCAAAATTAATGCTGTGAAGCTTGACCTCCTGACCCTGGAAAAAGAGCCACCTCATGGCTTTGTGGTCAATGGACAATAGTCTGGCAGCTCCCATTGTCCAGCCACCGTGACTTTTGAATGGTCATTAAAGCCATATATCCAAAATATTAAATGTTTTATGAGTTAGATTAGAGGATTTGCACTTTTTAAAATGCATGTTTTAAAAACTGAGGTTAGTTAGCACGAGAGATTTTCTTTTTAAGGAGAGCAGGTAAAAATCATTTAGCTTCATCCACTCCCTCTATCCTGTATCAACAACATGTTGAAAGAAAGGAAAAGATTTAAAAATTTTGAACTAGTGCTTTGGGAATTGAGGAATGGTTAAATATATAATAGAAATCAAATAGAAAGGTGGCTTTGAAAGTGGTTCAGGGAAAACATTGTGTTTCCTCCCTGTTGAGGCCACAGGGAGGAAAGGGAGAATTACAATGTTCTGTTACATAAATGCAGTGTGGATGATGCCCCCTAGAGTTGTGCGATGAAATAGCATTGCTGTTTTCCCTTCCACCTCTTATCCCAACCCACACATCCTAGAAGCCCAGGGCAGGCAGGAAATGAAGGTGGCAATGGAGTTTTGAAGACTCTTCAGAACCAGTGCTTGGGTGGAACATCTTGAGGTAGGATGGCTACTGAAAATGACACTCTAGTAACTTGTGTGGGTGATTCTAAAGTTGGCCTCCCCTACTGCCTCTTGCCTCTTTCCCCATTTGGTCTCCTCCTTCATTCACCCACAACAAATCCATGAGCGTCCTGGATTAGTCTAAACCTCACAGTAAAATCCCTGTTTGATTTTTTTCCATCCAAGTTGCTTGTTTATTGGCCAATCTGCCCAGTGCTACTACATCTTTAATTGTTTAATTTTTCCCCAGGAGGAAGTAACTATTTATTTAAGAAGGATCTCTACTATTCCTCAAAGTATCTTCTTCACTGTGAAATAAAGTCAGTTTCATAAGGCATGCAGATTGTCATGCAAACACCACCCTCAGCATTCTAGATCATACCTCCTCACTTTCCCTTTTCTTTCTGATCCCCTGAGGGTAGCTCACTATATGCCCCTCCCTACCCCTTCTTGGGGATGCTGCAGCCATAAAGCTGGAGAGATCATTAGAATTACGAACTCTGGTTGGTGTCTCAAATACCTACAACAACAACAACACAATTATAGCCACTGTAGAGCCAATGTCCTGGTTAACGCTTGTGTAACTGGCCAATTCTCAGGCCCATAGAACGGAGTTTAAGGAATTTTTTGGATCTCACCAGTCTAAAACTTCTTCTGCAGTCCAAAACCACATTTCAACTATCGTTTAACTGAAAGACTGAGCCCTCTTAATCTGGAACCATCACTAACTGAATTCCCTGTGTGCTTAAGCACCAAGTTAGAGAGCTGTGTTCAGCGCCAGCGAGAAAGAGTAGAGTGTGATTACCGCATCTTACCCACAGCTGAAACCTGTGTCATTTATTTTTCAACAAGTGTTGACTGTGCCTTTCTAACTATATGGTACTACGTTTCCACAAATGGGAAAAAGCATGATCCCTGTTTATACCAAACATGACAAGACATGAGGAAAGTAGTAATATAATGAAATATTGTAATCAGTGCCATAGAAAAAGCATTCTCAGGCTAGAGTAGTCAACAACATTTATTTACAGAAATTGCTACAGGTAATATGTTAGTGTGCTGCTTAGAAAAGGGGGGATCATTTATGATTAGGATAATCAGAGGAAACTTCATGGAGAAGGCATTTGAAAGTAGATAGCATTTTGGGGAGGCAAGAGGGATGAAAAAATATTCTAGCGGAGGGAGGTTTTGAACACAGTTATTAAAGAGAAAATATTCCATGCGTGGTGGGAATTTTGGGTGGCATCAGTCATTTGTTGGGCAGATTAAGCTTCAGTAACAAATAACCTCTAATATCTTACTGGGTTACCAGCACAGACGACTATTTCTCAGCCCCCGTTCCAGTCCACCACTCATCACCTGCTGTTCATTTGCACATCTTCATCTTAGGACCAAAGCTGAAAAAGAAGCTTCTATCTGGGGCATGTGGGTCTTGTAGCAGAGGAAAAAGAGGGAGTGGAAACCCGCTACAGCTGTCAAAGTTTCTGGTCACATCATTTCTGCTCACATCATTCCCGCTCACTTTTCACTGGGCAAAGCAAATCAGATGGTCAAGCGCCATGTCAATGGGGCAGAAAGTATGATCCCTCTGGAGGGACTGGCCTGGTAAAGAGTAAGGAGGAGCCCCCTATTTTGCAATAATGTAGTCGGTGCCATGGAAAGAGTGTTTTAGAGACCTACCAAAAGTTTCAGGCAGCAAGCAAAATTGTTTAGCAGGAGGAGTGAGTGAGTGTGGAGGGGAAGAGCTTGGTGAGATAAGATGCTGGGAAGTCATAGTGGGACAGGCTGGGAAGTGAAACATTACCAAGTTTTGGAGGCCGGGCAGCTGAGTTAGATTCGATGCAAGAGGATGTATGATGGCATGAAAAAATGCGGCTGTGAGTTCTGATCTAAAGTTTGTTTTGACCCATATAGAGCAGACTCATTTAACATTTAATTAGTTTATACTGTGTGTCAGTTGTGGTGGCATGTAGACATTTGCATAGATCTATATTTTAAATTTTGATCCTCCTGATGCCTCTCTGGGTTAAATAAGTATTATTCTCTTTGTTAAGCTGAAGGAGGCTCACCGAGGTTGAATGACTTGCTTAAAGACACAAAAGCAGCACATAGAACTGTGATGCAAAGTAAGGTCTTTCTACTGCATCACTGCAGGGCAAAGAAATTAAAATGTCACCTTTCTTTAGTATTGACTTGTTATTCTTTATCTTCTCCTTATATACACAGTCTGAAAGCAAGGTTAATATGATGTTTTTTCTCCTCAAGCAGAAGTTGCAATTAAAATGATGTTTATATAACTACTCCTTGCATAATACAACTTTATAAGTGAATAAAAAAGAGACAGATCGTTAACTAAGGTATTTATTATAAAATTTTGTGACAGAGACAGTTACTTCTAACCAAATATATAATGCTCCCCACTATGTGTTTCTCAGTTTTTCCTGCTGTTAGGTGAGGAACAGCTGAGGCAATTAAGAATTGGTATTCTTCCTCCATATCTTTCTTGACCTACTGTGGTGTCCTGGGAAGACACACGCACCAGGTGTAAGAAGACAATTCATGCCTCAGAATTCACTTGAGCCAAACCATGTCTTGATGGTATTGCACTACAAGATATCCAGTGTCTATTTGTTACAGCAGCGTAGCCCAACCTATCCTGATTAATACAGATCCTTCTGACTTTAATTGATACAAGGAAAGTGACCGTACCTGTCTTGCACATCCTCTTATCCCTACTGCTGAATACAGGACCTCCCACATAATATATGCTTAATAAATTTTGATTAGAGGAAAATGAATAAATCTCAAATTGAGTCTGGACTCTATCATTTGTTTAAACCACTTATTAACTGCTTTTAGAAACCAGTGGTTGATCAATCTTTCTGATATATCATTTCATCAGATCACTCTTCAGATCAAGACTTTATTACATATTTAATAAATTTAAAACTCATTCCTCTGACATTCAGGGCCCTCATAATCTCACCTAGATCCCTACAATTTTACTAATTTATTGCTCTAATCCAATTTAACCTATCACTACTGGCCTGTGCCCCCTGGTCACTATATTCATTGTTCTAGGGACAAACATCATGTGTTCTTAGGCAAATCATTTCAAGTCTCTGAGCCTCAGTTTCCCATTCTGTAAAATTGTTATTTGTAGCAAAAGACATAATGCATACAAAAAGTTTAAGTTATGCAAATTTATGAAAATCCAAATTTATTTTGTACTTGTTGTTGGTATATATTAAATTGATAGATCAGAGGAGTGACATTAAAAAGGGTGTTACCATTTCAGTAACACATTTGTCAAAATCTCCCATGACAATCTTGCAGAGAATTGCTGTCTAGGGAGAAATGGTAAAAGAAACCAGGGAGACCCTGTTGGTTACGTACTCCAAATTCATTCCCTTTTTTTTTTCCTTAACCCTACCTCTATTTTATTTAAGTTCTGCCCTTCTCCTTGGGACCATATTTATCCAGGGAGGATCCTTTATGATGGCCCTATTTTCACTGTCAATGATTACTGTAGTCATGAACTCTGATGCATTTCTGGTTGATAAGATGTGGAAAAGAGTATAAGAGGGCTTCTAAGAAGGGTTTCCATGCTTTTAAAAAGAAACCCTCAGAAAATATATAATAACTTCTTCTGGACAGTGTCATGTCTTGAAATGTTGCAGCCAGCTTATCAGCATGAAAGGATCTCTAGCCCGGGGTCAGAGCTGACACACTGAGATGAGAATGGAGGGGCAGAAA